TGGGAATGTTGATCAGAGTCTGCCATATTGTTACGCAGTCCTCCTTCCCTAGGTCTTATCAGAGTCTCCCCCTTGCCCCGTAGAATCCGTCTGCTAACGCTCAGGTTTAGGTATTTCACTCGACCCCTGCCACCCCATCTGTGCTACTCGAGGAATTATGACCCATCACCTGCGTCTGGGTGGCTAATTCGAGGCTTTAGCCTCTAAGTAATTCTCATGGTCAAGCCCTTGCTGCATGGGCCACGTCCATGGTAGAACAGGTCTACTATCAGCCAACTAGCTGTATTCTTCGTAGCATCTATCCTGTTTCTGTCCCTAATACCAAGTCTATGACTTGCTGTGACATAGTCCAGTGATTCCTAAACTGTGCGCAGCGGCGCCCTGGGGAGCCGCGGCCTGTTTATAGGGGCGTCGTGAAATATTGTAAAAGCTTCACTTTGAGAAAATATGCAGAGATTTGCAGGTTCATCCATCACATTAATTATTAAATATTAATTTAATGTCAATAACATAAAAAAATAATGAAGATATACGATTTTTATTTATTTTTATCTCTTACTTACGAATAGTCATACTTAGGGTAGGGTGCCATTGAAATATCTTGATTGAAAAATGGTGCCTCGACTAGGAAAAGTTTGGTAGCCACTAAATAGTATCTTGTGTGCCAATCAACAAATGTTGTGGTACTGCTTGCTTTGATTAGATTCAATGGATCAGCACACAAAAGACTAGGGCATAGTAAGTCATAGACTTGGTATTACGGATAGAAACATGATAGATGCGACGGAGAATAGAGCTAGACGGCTGATAGTATGCCTGTTTTACAATAGATGTGGTCCATGCAGCAAGGCTTGACCATGAGACTTACTTAGAGGTTTTAGTTTCGAACTAGCCACCCAGACGGAGGGGATGGATAATAAAGCCTCGAGTAGCAAAGATGAGGTGGCAGAGGTCGAGTGAAATACTTGAACCAGGGCGTTAGCAGACAGATTCTACGGGGTAAGAGGGAGACTCTAATAAGACATAGGGAACGAGGACTGTGTAACAATATGGCAGACTCTGATCCACATTTCCAGCACAAGGGTGCATGGGGTGAGGGCGTGAGAGTGGAGTGTGAAGGGTTCTAACAAAAGTCTCTCGAAAGGACACACCATACTAATTTAAATAAGCAAGGAAAAAATGGTGATTGTGAAAGCGTGATACGATGATATAAGAAAGGTGAATAGCCCATGACAGAAGAGATAGCGCAACTGTTTATCACACATTTGGTCGGCTTCACTTGTTTTTTTGACGAGTTGTGGTATGGTGCTAAGAATGACAAGACTGACGATATCGACTACAATGCCGGCGAGGCGTCTGGGAATGTACCACGTCCACAGTCCGACTTTGTAAATGATCATGGATACGATGGACTCCTGACTAAGTGCGTTCCTCTAAGTCTTCTTACCAATATGACGATGTTGCGAAAACCATGTCAAACAGCTTACTGCAAGAGATCTTGTTTGTACATTTACCTCAACTATCTGTTGCTGGCTAGGGAAGTCCGAAGGTTTGATATAGAGAATTCCATGGCCAGAAAAGGCTAAAAGTTCATTATGAGTCCGATTCCATGCAAGGCTGTTAACACCAGGCTCCTGAAATGAAATTCAGAATACATAAAGAAAAAAAAGGAAAAATTTGTAATTTGCTATAAACCAAATATATGAACTGAATGAAGACGGTAGTCAAAATAAAGAATACTCTCGAAAAATGATAAATACTGAAATACACATGGGCAGAGAGTTTACTCAGCACCATTTTATATTTTTACATACTTTCTGCAACAGGATAGTAATAGGTTAGTACATAAACAAGCAAATATCCAAATGATAAGGTGATATAAGGAATACTAACAAACCTGAAAGAGCATTTGACCCGTCTTTAGACAGTAGGCATATAGGGTATTCGTATCATCGATCACCGCTAGTCTATCACGATAAACACTGATGTCTAGGCAGCACACACTACCCGGCACTTTGACTACCTCAATAGGAAATGCATTGTCAATGAAGATTTCCAGAACCTGCAATAAATTTCCAGAACCAACAAAATGAAAAATGAAAAATCATAACGACAGAAGTGGCACTTTCTAACTAGAGATTAAAGCTATTTCTTTGCAAATGAGATAAAATTAGCTACTCACGACCATAGCAACGATGGAATTCAATATTCTATAGTTAAGGGTCAAGTACAAGGCTTACAATAAGAAAATATACGAAGGTCTGGTATTTTTGTTCTTTAGAATTGGAGATTGCCTAATTCTGCTCAAAATATTGTAACTGGGAATATGAGCCTAATTTCTCAACTATTCATACATAGATTAGGAAGATGAGCAATTTATGTCAGCTTTCTAGTTAAAGTAAAAAGCCAACAAAGAATTCAAAAGTAAATTTGCAATAAATCACTAGTTAGGAGAGTTCCTCAAGTCTTTTCCGCATAGTTCATCCTTAATTAGGCAAAATCTATTATAATAAGGCATGCATAATATTTCCGGCGTATCCAAAATTCAGGTTGTCCAAACTGCTTTAATTTTACATAGGACTTTATACACTAAAGTCAATGTTTTGCTCTAAGAAGTGCATTGCTTGTTTGTTTCTAATCTTAATAAATGTCCACAATTCCATAAGCTTTCGAGGGAAATTTGACTGTTCTTATAACCAGAAAATAGGAAAAGCATATTAAATATGCTGAACTCAATGGATCGTAGCCATCATTTGTTGGGAATTAGTCTCACATCTAAACGCCAAACATACCTGACCACTTTTGAGGCCAACCAAAACGCCTTCACGAGACGGTGGTCCACCGATCACTCGAATATAATGGATTGCCGTATCGAAATTCCACTCCCGTTCCTTGATACCCTATACGGTTAGGAGAGTAGTTGTTTAAAAGGTTTGAGTAAAAGTAATATGCTTCTTACTATGAGATACATATTTATTAACAGAAAGAATTTTATCTCTAAATATATGAAGGTTATAACATTAAGAAATTATTTTTCACTAATAATTTTAGGTATTAGCCGATAAATTAATTTCGATATTACCTGATTTGTCTATGTTACTATCAAATGTTGTATTTCTAAAATAAAATAAGGTCAGACCTTTTTGCCTCGAATGGTATTCCGACAAGCTATATTCTTACTCAATGGGGGTTTTAGGTAAAAATTTCATCTCAAATACATAATTTGGTAGTTTAATTCTTGTGAGCTACTCACAAATAGTTACACTAAAAGTAGTTAAAGAACCCATTCGCCAGCTCTATACGAACCTGAGACTAACACACTTACCACATATGTGCTATTCTGATGAGAATAACCAAATTGATGCGAAAAAAGAACTCTTGGGATAAACAAAAGAAGTTATATAACTATAAAGAGTGTAAAATAACAGGCTTATGCTAGACCAACTTTCTCTTACTTTATAGTTGAGACTTGTAAGACGGCAATCTTGACAGATCAATACGTTATATGCTGTAATAACTATTAAATCACATTCCAAATTCTTGAGCAATTTTTCACGAACATGGTAGTGCATATCGTTTGGGTCCTCAGAATCAGGCTCATAGAGTAACAGACGATCGCTTATTTGAATCTAAAAGAATAACATATTATGCAAAATACGAAATTTAATTGCACTGGATGCATAATTATACTCCATATTACTTTGAAACAACTTCCTTCGAGGAAAGCAATATAAAAATAAAATTAATCGAAACTCGACATGAGGACGCTTTGGGCTTCAAAGAATCCCTTTATAGAATGATGTTGGCATACATTCGATTACATTTTTAATGGCTTGTGGTAGACATTTGTATCTAAAGTAGGTCGACAGAATAGGCTATCTATTGAGAGTAACTTGGTTTCGATAAATATCCTGAGATAATATTGTTGTAGGGATTTCATTTTGTATTAAAGCGCATGATAAGCAGATTAGCAGGTCGATCTTACCAGCAGACGACAACTGACTTCTGTTGTTCTGCAGTTTAGCCGACAGATAGTGTTTATCTCAAATTTAAACTAAAATCTAAATGACTCAATTAGAAGTTTGGCTAATTCGAGAGTCACTTACAGTTCCTAGTGGTCAGCTGTATGAACGACCACTTTGCTATCTTGCGGATTGGAGAAGAGAGTCTTGAAGAATTTATCAAGTTAATTAATGAATTGGATCGAACTACTAAATTAAGAATGGAGTTATAAAAGGACAGTAAGGTACTTATTTTCGATGACTTGGTTCTGCAAAGAACAAATTGGATAATGGTGTTGTTATCAAATGCAGAAATGAGATATTTTTTCATAATTGCTTCTCTAATAATACTAATTGGAGCAAAAACGTATGCATTTTACGTCGGTTAAGGAAATTTAAGGGCCGATATTTGGGTTTCACTATATTCGAGTGAGTAGGCTTCAGGATGCAAATTAAGATAGATTAGTTTTGCCTCCAAAAAGCTATATCATTAAGAGTAGACTCAAGGTTAGATCTCGCCTAGGTCCAACCGGCACTCCCAAAAGGATTCGACACCGGGTTGTGAATATTGCGGATGTCACCACTACTGCACAGCCACAGGCATAATGTTAATCACGAGGCAGATGTGGCAGCCAAGACAAGCCAGGCATCTTCCATACACGTATAGTCGAGTGGTAACGTAGCAGCAATACTCAAGACCCGGTATGGGATCCCGTTTATGGTTCTGATGACACCTAGATGTGGCCGAAATTGTAAAACATTCTGTATGAGATTGTCCTTTTGCAGACAGGACTCGACCTTGCTTTCGCAAATTGGTCGTATCACTTTGATACGCTGTAATTTTGTGCTAAAGATGGCTTCTCACACTGACCATGAAACCGGCGAGACATCTGGGAATGTGCCAAGTCAACGGTCCGATACCGGAAATAATAAAAATTACTATAGAAGAGGATGGAGAATTAGGTATGTTCTACAGGTTCCCACTATTTATCCGACTAAATTACTAAAATGGGGTCGCACCAACACAATAAAACTGTTAACACCTACGGCCACATCATCTTGGTCTAAGGTTAGATACAATGTAATGGAAACTTGGTGATGGCTTATCGCATTGTTGGAAAACTCAAATAGCAGTCATTAGCT